GACCTTGGGATCTCACTTGAATTCGTGGACCTGGGATTGCACGATAAAGCTACGAAATTTCGGGTGAAAAATGCCGCGCAAGGCATTAGATGTGGCGCTTTATGAGTTAGATGGCTTATCTAGTGGCTTGGCTGATGATGAATGTATCCCTGCCCGTATGTTCTCTGGGTGGTGGTGCCATTCGATGATACGCACGACGAATGAGGATGCTGCGGACCTCGCGAACTCTCCCATTGGTCGAACTGCCCGACTTATCCAGGCCACGGTCCATAGGCACTTACGGTCGGTTCGTATGGCTGCCACTCCCTTGTTGTGTCTGAGTGTACGGATATCGAGGTGGTTAGTTGCTGCATTTCTCGAGGATATGTTCCGTCTGCGGGTGAGATTGCGCGCAGTGGAGCGTGCCACCTGCACCCGTCTGGCTACCAACGTTCTCCGTGCACTGTCCAGGGGCGTTTGTGCTTCGGCACGGTTTCATGCGAATGTCCGTGGGTGCTGCTTTGGGTGTGTGGCCCCCGATGACTTACGCCACTATAAAATCTGCGATCGATTCCGTGACCTTGTACTGCACCGTCTCCCTGGGTTGGAAGCATTACCCGCGCCGTGGAAGGAAATGTGGCAGCACCGAGACACTTGGCTTACCTGCCTATGTCTGATGGGACCTTCCTGGGGGCTCGACCGCGACGTTGCCTGCGCTGCCTTCCTCGATGCATTTCTTAAGACGCACGCCCATCATCGACGCTTGACACAGGTCCCCTCGTCCCAGGTTTTCGTGGCCCGATTGCGTCTTCTGGCTCGTCGGTATACTGGTGTTGCACGACAGTTCAGGGCACGGCGTATTGGGCGAGCTGCCACGTGAAGGGATGTCGTCGGAGTGTACCTCGGTATCTCACGGGTGAACGAAGATCGGCCTCCCGTTGCGCACTGGAGTCCAGTACATGCGCGGAGTAAGAGGGACACCGAGCAGATTATTGACGCCATGCGTGATTTGATTGTGGCACGGCAGTTCTGGGCACAGTGTATTGGGTGGGCTGCCTCGTGAAGTGATGTCGTCTGAGTGTGACCGCCCCCTCTCACCTCTCGCGCGTGTGCTCTAGTGCTTGTCTCTGTGTTCCCTTGCCTCTCCTGTCGCTTGCTGTCTTCCGTCTCCCTGCCTCTGCCGTTGCCCCTCCCCTGCGGGGTGGGCGTTGTTGGGTCCTCGGTTTTGCCCGCCCCTGCCTTCCCCTCTTTCCCCTGCCTTTCTCCCGGCCCGCCCCCTCGGTCCTCCTGCTGCTTGCTCCTCCGCGCGTGTGCTGGCGCTGCTGGGGTTGGGCCCCCGCCTGGCTGGGGGGCGCGCGCGGGGGCGCGCGTGCAACCGCCTCGCCGCTCCCTGCCGCCCCCGCCGCCCGCCCCGTCGACGGCCTGGTCAACTGTGCCCGTTGCGCCTCTCTGGGAGGTAGGGTGCCTGCCTCTCGATTTTGTCTAGGCGCGTTTCGTGCCTGGGTTGTGGGTCGTGGCGACGGTGGCCTGGGTTGCAAGCGCCCGAGGCTTGCGGGGCATGGACTCTGTCCTCCCCCGTCGCCGAGTGCGCCCCCCCGCTGCCGAGGACTCTCGTTCGGGAGGATGGGTAGCGGGCAGTGCTGCCCCGCCCCGCCCCGCGCGCGAGGTACCTCGGTACCTCCCGCGGGTGGGCGAAGATCGGCCACCCGTTGTGCGCGGGCATCCAGTGCCCTGTCCTTTCTCTCCCCTTCGCTGCCCCTCTGCTGCTGCTGCCCCCCCCTCCTGCGCGACATGGGCGGTGGCGGGCTTCGCCCGCCGCCGCGCTGCAGCTGCTCGCGGCGCACGGACCTGGATGGAATATTGGTGCTCGCCCGCGCGCGGGGGGGGGGGGGGGGGGGGGAACAAACAAAATCTTCCTCCTCCTCCCCCTCCTCCTCCTCCTCCTCCTCCTCCTCCTCCTCCCCCCCCTCCTCCTCGAGCGGGCCACGGCGGTGAGGCCTGGAGTTTTCCGGTGGCGTCGGCGGTGCCCGGGAGATCTCCAGCCTCGGGGCGCCGCGCAGAGGCGGCGCCTCTGCGGGGGCCAGCCGCTTCCCCCCCGGAGATCGCAGCGGGGGCGCTCTGCTCGAGGGTCTCGACCTCTGGTCGGCCTCGAGGATCTCGACCTCTGGTCGGCGGCGCGCCTGGGGGGGAGGAGACATGTTCGGAGCCTCCCCGGAAGACACAGAAAGCTTCTCGGAAGGCACGGGGGCGTCTGAGAAGTCCCGCTGCCTTCTGAGAAGTCCTGGTGAGAAGGCCACTGCAGTCAACCCGCATAGCAAGGACGGGCAACCTTCCCAGGGGCACCCTTGCACCCTTGCCCGTTCGGCCGATTCTTGGCGACTTTCGCTGGCCAACCTCGCTCGGAAAACGTCAACGTGGCCCTCCAAGGCCCCATCTTTATGATACTGGTTGACTGTACTTCGACTATTCCCTCGTTTCCCTCATTTTGGGCCTCCTCGGAGGCCCTCGTCGCCACCGCCGGATTCGCCTCGAAATTCTCGACAGAACGCACCCACGAGAGGTCTGGGGAGTAATTGGCGGTACACCGCACTCACATCTATACCCCTGGGTGGGTGTATGTGCGGCCGTTTTTGCGCTGTCATGTGCGCGCATGTGCGCGGCATGTGCCAGTCATGTGCCAGGCCTGTGCGGTCCTTCTTGGATGGACTTCCTACTGTGCACGTCGTGCCCGGGCATGTGCGGGGGCATGTGCGCTGCGTTTTGATGTATCCATCATACGCACATGCACGCACAGTCCGACGCACATGCGCGCACATGCCTGCACATGCGGGAGGTGTTCGAGAATCGCAGATCTGTCATCGGCACATGCACGCACATGCCTGTGCAACCTCTCTTCGGGAGGCCGCGCGGGCCCGCACATGCACGCACATGCGGTGAAGCGCGCGGGCGCACACGCGTGCACATCCCAATGCACACGCACGCTCATGCCCTAGGAGCTGTCTGGGACCCCTGTGCCTCCAATGCCTCCTGGCCTTCGCAGAGCTAACCTGGGGCGTGCCAGGGTTTCCCGAAAAAGTTTGTTGTGCGTTTAGACTCGCCCGCTGCTGGCGGGGGCGGTTATTTGCCCGGTTCGTGAGCTGGCGGTGGCGCGCCCGCCTAATAAAATACTCTCCCGCGCGCCTTCTCAGCTCGGCCGGACAAGCAGGGATGGGGGGGGGGAGGTGGATGGGGGGGGGAGGGGGGGGGGCGGAGGAGGCGGGCGCCCCCGGCCACAGGCCAGCCTGCCTGTTCGGCTCGGCCAGAGGAGAAGGAGGAGGAGGAGGAGGAGGAGGAGGAGGAGGAGGAGGAGGAGGTGAGAGTTGCGAGGCTGTCTCAGGCGAAAGTGGCTTGACGGCCCGAGCTCAGGGAATCTCGGAATCGCTGGCCTGGCTCGGCCACCGGCGAGCTCGGCCTGTGCGAATACTGTGCGTACCTGTGCAGTGCATGTGCGGGACGTGCAAGAATGCCGGGGCCGGCGTTCGTCTCCGGACGCCGGCGCGTTCGCGTCCGGCCAGTTCCGCGTGAGACGTCGTCGGCAATTTGGAGGCCGACGTGCTTTGACATGAAGTGATCTGGCCACCTTCGCCTGAGACATCCTCGCAACTCTGGTCTCGGAGATGCCCTGCCCCATGGTGGCCCGGCCACTTTCGCTTGAGACATCCTCGGGACTCTGGGTTTCGAGACGCCCTGAGCTGAGGTGGTTAGACCACTTTCGCATGAGACATCCTCGCAACTCTGACCTCAGAGATCTCCTGCCCCATGCTGGTCAGGCCACGGTCGCCTGAGACATCCTCGCAAGTCTCGATTCCGATATGCCCCGAGCTGAGGTGGTCAGCCACTGTCGCCTGAGACATCCTCGCAACCCTGATCTCAATGATGCCCTGCTCGATAGTGTCTCGGCCCCTTTCGCCTGAGACATCCTCGGAACTCAGGGTTCCGAGACGCCCTGAGTTGAGGTGGTTAGACCATTTTCGCTTTAGACATCCTCGTCCGAGATGCCCTGAGTTGAGCTGTTCAGGCCACTTTTGCCTGAGACATCCTCGCAACTCTGACCTCAATGATGCCCTGCTCCATAGTGTCTCGGCCTTTTTCGCCTGAGACCCTCGCAACTCTGGGTTCTGAGATGCCCTGAGCAGGTGGTCAGGCCAGTCCTGCCTGAGACATCCTCGCAACTCTGGGCTCCGAGATGCCCTGGGCTGAGGTGGTCAGACCACTCTCCCCAGAGACATCCTCGCAACTCTGACCTCAGAGATCTCCTGCCCCATGGTGGTCAGGCCACTTTCGCTTGAGACATCCTCACAACTCAGACCTCGGAGGTGTCCTGCCCCATGGTCGTCTGGTCACCTTGACCAGCGACATCCTCGCCACTCTGGTTTCCAAGATGCCCTGCCCCATGGTGATCCGGCCACGCTTGCCTGAGACATCCTCGGAACTCTGGGTTGCGAAATGCCCCGAGCTCAGGTGGTCAGGCCACTATCGCCTGCGACATCTCTGCGGCATGTGCGGGCATGTGCGTCTATGCTTTCAGAGTTTTGCTTGACCGTGCATTCGACTGTGCGTCGGACGGTGTGGCATGTGCGCGCATGTGCGGCAATGCTGTTGAGGCTTTTGTATATTTGCATGGGCATGTGCATGCGACTGTGCGGCATGTGCCTGCATGTGCGGCCCCTTCCGGACCACAATTTCAAAGTGAGCACTATAGAAGTGAGCGCTATAGAAGTGAGTCCGGTGTACCTGTACCCTGTAGTTTCTCCAAAAGTTTGCCTGCCCCCGGAAGACCCATGTCTGTCTCTAGAGGCCCTCCCAGGTCCTGACCGCGCATCCTTATGATGTGGGTCGACTCTACTTCCCGCTCCCCCCCCCCAGAAGGCTCCTGAGAGAAGGCCGCATGGTTTCTGAGGAGCCCCGCCGCCTTCTGAGCAGGCCTTCTCCTTCTTTCGCTCCCCCTCCGCGCCGCCCCTCGCTCGCTCGCCGGGCGCCAGGTGGCAGTGCAGCTTCTGCTGCCGCGCGCAGGAGCCGCCCGGGCCGGAGGCGCAGGGCGCGGGCAGCAGCAGCGTGGAGTTCGTGTGGCCCGCCGCGGCTCCCCGGGGCGCCAGCGCCGCGCAGGCCGGGGGGTCGGCCCCGCCTCGCCTCCTCGGGCCGAAGGAAAGTCAGGAGGGGAAGAAGCACACAGACACGATGAATCAATCGTCGGTTCCCAGACGATAGGGGGAAAATATGGGAAGTGGGGGGTAAGACAAGAAGCCATCATATTTCTGGGAACATGGGGAATCCTGTGGTTTTTTGTGTGTATTTACTTGTGTGTCCCAGGGCCCCTTCAGAAAGAGAAGATGGGGAAAGGGTGGGGGTGCGAAATCTGCTGCATGCAGCTGGTTTCGGCCCCGCCGCCGGGCCCATTCCTCGATACATGGGCGCCCTCTGGCGCCGGGAGGCGCCGGGAAAATCAGCTACGTGAGCTGATTCTCTACCCTACCCTTTGCTATCCCCCCCCTTTCGTTACCACCGAGCCTCGCCCCGCCTCGCGGGGGGCGGGTCAGGGCGTTCGAGGTCTGTTTTGGTCCAGGCCTCCCAAACAGGGGGGGGGGGGTCCCAGGATGCGGCGGCGAGCGAGGGGGGGGGAACGAGAAGGAGAAGGACATGCTGAGCAGGCGGCGGGACCTCTCAGGTGCCCTCGCGCCTTCTGAGAAGCTTTTTGTTCGTCCTCGGGGATGGCTTGGAAAACTGCTCAGAAGGCCCTGGGGGCTTCCGAACCTTCTGAGAAGGCCCGCCTCTTCTCACTTCCCCCCCTCGCTCGCCGCCGATTGTTGCTCCAAGCCTCCCAGATGTCTAGGCCTCCTAGATGGGGTCGGAGTAGATGGGATCGGAGGATCGCGCGGCATCGCCGATGCATCGACGATGCGGCCCGATGCGGAGCCCGATTTTGTTCACGCCGATGTTGCCGATGCGTCGCCGACGTCGGCGATGCATCGCCGATGCATCGCCGATGCATTGGCGATGCAGCGCGATCCTCCGACCCAACCTACTCGGACCCCATCCAGGAGGCCTGTAAAATTTGGGACCAAATACGGTGGAGGCGTTTGTTAAGGAATCGGAGGTGAGGGGGTGAGATCGAAGTGGAACGGAGAGCCCCCCTACCGGGAAATCGGTTTCGGTTTCGTGTTCGCGCGTGCCGTGCGTGCGGGCGAGGCGAAGCTGCGTGGGCGGGCGAGAAGAAAGTCTCCTCCGGCTGAGGCGCGGCCGGACCAAACCATTCCTTTCTGGGGGCCGGTGGCCCGCGGTGTCCCTGTCCCGCCTCCGGCTGAGGCGCGGCCGGACCAAATTATTCCTCTCCGGGGGCTGGTGTCCCGCCGGTGTCCCGCCGGTGTCCCGTCGGTGTCCCGTCGGTGTCCCGATGATGATGATGATGATGATGATGATGATGATGATGATGATGATGATGATGATGATGATGATGATGATGATGATGATGATGATGATGATGATGATGATGATGATGATGATGTCGATGATGTTGATGATGATGGTGATGATGAAGATGATGATGATGATGATGATGATGATGATGATGGTGCTGGTGGTGATGATGATGGTGTCCCGATGGTGGTGATGATGATGATGTCGACGATGTTGATGGGATGGTGATGGTGGTGATTATGATGGTGTCCCGATGATGAAGATGTTGATGAGGATGATGTGGCTGATGATGATGGTGTTCCGATGCTGATGATGATGATGATGATGGTGATGATCCTGTTGATGTTGATGATGATAGAATGATGATGATGAGATGATGATGGTGGTGATGAAGATGATGATGAGGGTGTCCCGATGAAGATGACGATGAGGTTGATGATGATGCTTTTGATGATGTCGGTGGTGACGATGATGCTGGCGTCCCGATGATGATGCTAATGATGATGATGTTGTTGATGATGATGACGATGCTGGTGTCCCGATCATGATGATGATGATGATGATGATGATGATGGTGATGGTGATGGTGATGACGATGTTGATGATGAGGATGATGATGATGATGTGATGATAATGATTGAGATGGTGGCGGCCCGCTGATTGTGATGATGATGATGCTGATGTTGAGGATGATGGGGTCCCGATGATGATGATGATGATGTTGGTGATGATGGTGGTGACAATGATGATGGTGTCCCGATGATGATCATGTTGTTGATGATGGTGTAGCTGATGCTGATGATGGTGTCCCGATGATGATGATGATGATGATGATGGTGATGCTGTTGTTCATGGTGATGGTGATGATGATCATGATGATATGATGGTGATGATGATGGGGGTGGTGTTCCGATGATGAGGATGATGGTGTCCCGATGATGCTGATGTTGATGATGATGATGATGGTGACGATGATGGGTTCCCGGTGATGATGATGATGATGATGCTGATGCTGATGTTGATGATGATGGTGATGAGGTGATGGTGATGATGGCCTCCCGATGATGATGATGATGATGATGATGATGGTGATGATGATGTTGATGACGTTGATGACGATGATGTTGATGATGTTGATGATGAGGACGTTGATTGTGAGATCGCCCGTGATATCGATAGTGAAGTCGATAGTGGGACCGAATGTGAGATCGATTGTGAGATCGATAGTGAGATCGATAGTGGGATCGATTGTGAGATCGATAGTCAGATCGATTGTGAGATTGACCGAATGAAATAGCTCGAGTAAGATCGATTGTGAGATCGATCGAGTGAGATCGGTCGAGCGAGACCGATCGTGAGACCGATCGTGAGATCGATAGTGAGATCGATAGTGAGACCGATCGAGTGAGACGTTGGTTCCGCCCCCCCGAACCTCCTTATCACCCAGAGGGTGGTCGTATAGCTAGTCCCAGGAGGCGCCAGACTGGAGGACTCCTTACCCAATGAGAGCGGCGGTGATATCCATGGCCGATCCACGAGTGGAGTTCCACTGGCTTCCAGACCCTGGATTCCTTACCTAAGGGTTCCTGATCCAATGCCCAACACCGTCCGTAGCCATTTTGGCTCAAGGCCATGAACCGCCCCGACGACCGCGAGTCTTTCGGGGCGACTTCTGAGCGCGAGGGAGGTTCCGCTTTGAGGCCACCTTCCTTTCCTAAGTGTGTCAGCTGCCGCAGCAGCACCTTCCAGGACCTGCGGGTCAAGTCTTCTTCTGAGTCGGCGGGTCCGCCCCCGCCGTCTCCTGCCTGCTGCTTGCCCGCAGCTGAGCAGCGCGCCCGACCGTGCCAGCGATGGGGCCTAAGGCCGTGCCTGGCTTCGTCGTGTGCACGGGCTGCCGGTGCCGCTGGAACTTCCGCTCGAACGCGAAGTGCTGGCCGTGCGGGATCGGGCTGGAGCTGGCGCCCTCGAAGCCTTCGCCCCGCGTTGGGGTCTGGGCGGACGGTGGCGGCGGCGGACCCCAACTCGCACATCGCGGCGGCGGCGGCGGAGGCCCACCGAAGAATGGAGCCAAGGACGGCAAGGGCGGCAAGTGCCGCGGTGCAGCCTACCGTGGTGGCGGCGGCGCAGTCTCCCGTGGCGGCGGCGGGGGTGGCGCGGGCTGCCGTGGCGGAGGCGCCTTCCCGAGGGCCCCCTGGTCGGCCCTGCCCGAGAGCGAGCTCGACGCGCTCCTCGCCTGTGGGGGCCCAGCCATCGCAGCCAGGCTGCAGGAGGCGGTCCGCGAAGCGCGGAGCTATGTCGCGCCCGCGGTCGCCCCAGTGCCGAAGCCGCTCGAGCAACGTCTGGAGTCGGCCACGGCGAAGCGGATCAACCTCCAGCGCCAGCTGGATGAGGCGGCGGACGCGCTCGTGGCGGCGGAGGACCACCTCGCTGAATGCCGCGGCTGGCGTGACGAGGCTGCGGGCAGCCTCGCGGAGGCCAAGGAGGAGGAGAACGCCCTCCTGCGCCAGCGTGCCCGAGCGGCGGGCGCCGTGGGAGCCCAGCCCGACGGCGCGAGGCAGCTCACCTTCAACTTTGACGCGGAGTCGTTTGACAACTTCGCCGAGCTGGAGGAGGAGGTGCAGGCCGCCCTCAGGCGCCTCTGCGATGAGGGGCTCCAGATCACGCAGGGCGCGCAGGCTACGTTCGAGCGCAACTGCCAGGGGCACCAGCAGCGCATCAAGCGCCAGATCGCGGAGGAGGTGGCCAAGAAGCGCAAGCGCGCCGAGGAGGGGCCTGCAGCAGCCGTGGCCCCTGGCACCCCCGTGCAGGGCGCGGGCGCCCCGCCGCAGCCTGCAGGCGGCCGCCCCTGCTGCCCCCGCCGCCCCCGCCGCAGACGCTGCGCCTGGAGCGGGGGCTCCCCCAGCGGCAGCGAGGGAGAGCCGAGCGGCGGACGAGGCGGCCCGCCAGCGCGCTGCCGACCACAAGGCCGCTGCGGCGGCCCCTCCACCTCCTGCTGGCGCTGCTGCTGGCAGCGGCCTGGCCCGCGCGTAGCACCCTGCTGCCGGGCGGCGGCCCCGACAGCGCGGCGCCGCCCGCCCCTGTTGGGGCTGAGGGGACAGAGGCGGCGGCGCCCAGCCGCTCAGAGGCGGCGGCGGCGCCGGGTGGCGGCCTGCCCGCCTACAAGGCGGCCAACGTGGCGACCGACGCCTGGGTCGAACTTCCCTTCATTGTGCCGCTGCTGCGCCAGGAACGGCGCTTCGGCGTCGTGCGCCACGACGCCAAGTTCGATGCGCTCAGCAGCAGGACAGAGCCAAGCGCTGCGGCTGGCTTGGCTGGGCCCGACCGAAGGACTGGCAGTCCTCAGCCTAGCCAGGGGCCCACATGCCATAGTGGGCACCCAATTCAAGTTGACGAGGCTACGGGCGAGGGCGTGAGACCCCCTGAGGTTCGGAGCCCCAAGGCGGCGAGCAGCCGCCCGCCTGGCGGCCCCGCGGCCGCCGCGGCAACCGAGCAACCTGCGGCCCAGCCTCAGCCTGGGCGACCGCAGGCCAAGCCCCCCCAGCTGGCCAAGCAAATCAGGCCTACGGGGCCGAAGCCAACTAGCTTCGCCACGCTGAACGTCTCGACCTGGTCAGAGAAGAAGGTGGAGATGGAGCGGATCCAGGATGGAGGAGGTGACGACGTCATCCTGGCGCAGGAGAGGCGATGCGCTT